CGCTCTTCCTTCTCTCTTCCCCTCAGCTCCTTGTCATGTCCTGGCCCTTTGGCCTGCCCTCAGCTCAGAAAAGAAGTACAACAGTGAGGGAATTTCAGAGTCTCCAGCCATGTTTGTACAATTTAGGTGAGGGAAGACTGCATTAAAATGCTGGTAAAGCCTAAAGGGTCCTGAAAAGTTATTGCTGAACATGTAAACTCTCAGAGCCCAGTTATCGTCTTCTGTGAAATATTTTCTATCTTACCTTCCATCTATATATTCTCAAAAACCATGATTAAAGACCCTATCAAGAGATAGCTTAGCGCTGGTTTTGAAGCGAAGAGCCACACGGGTTTTAGCAGATCATGGCCAGGGCCCACGACTGCCTATGCTGAAGCAGCAAGCAAAGTCCCTTCCAGCAAAATCCTTGCGCGTCCATTTGACTTCAAGCAGGTGGGCCATCCCAAAGAAGACTCAGGCGCACTGCTCATGGGCATTAGTAGGTGTGGACCAAAACCAGCATCACTCTGACCTCACAATTCACGGAAAGATGGGAACCTTGACAAGCAAAGATAGCCTGCATGAGATAACCTTACTTAATCCTGTGACATTGTCAAAGCCTGAGGATGGACTCTAGAGAAGCCTTTTTCATCTCCTGTAGAGCTACATAACAACAAGAAAGCACCATTGCAACAGAAATTTGGTGCAAATGCGGTATGAATGGAAAGGTTTGTAAGCTCCTGAAGTAACCTCAGGACAAGGGTGGAAGGAATGGCCTGAACCAACAACGAAGGACACCACCTCCACAGCTCACATCAAGACCAAAGGCTGGCATGTTGATACAACCCCTACGCAGATGACTCGTTAGCAGAATACCCAGCATTTGAACACCAGGAGGATGGCAACAAGACTGTTGCATGTCACATATACCAATCCTTTTCCTGTCGGTCCAACAGAAAAATAGACTGTGGACACAGAGTTCAAATATGTAGTCCAAACAAGGAAAAGCAGATGACCAGGAGCAACCTGGCCTATGGGGTGGGGAGGCTGCAGACAGCCAGATTCACAGGCAAAGGACCAGCCTGTAACAGCTGTTGGCACTGAAGGGAGTCTTGTCAGCATTTGTCCAAAATCTAGTTTGTTATTGCCGGTCAGGACGAACCAAGAGACATAAGGACTTGAGAGCTGGTGGCCCGTGCAGTCCCTGTTGCACGCAAGTGATCCTGGCCAGATCACTTGAACACGTGCATCCTGGGGCTTGTTAGCACATGAGTGTGTGAGTGTGTAAAATCAATCTACTATGAGTTTTGTTTAAAAGTCGCCCTCCCTTTCCACAAGATCCTGCACTGAATTTTCTTATACTGATCTCCTACATTCTTATCATCTTATTATTTATACTTCTACTTAAAGACTTAAATGAAAGGGTTTTTTTTTTTCATTTATAATTAACTAATGGTAGTTTGTGTAAGATCAGGAGATGTTAAAAAATTATTTTCTAAAAACTGCTTGAATATCATGTAGTTTTGAAGCCCTTAACTAAAAAGGAAATACAAATCCAGAGTCCTAGCTAGAAAACACAAACTGCTAGCACACCTCACCTGATTATCTTTTATTTAAAAGAGGAGAAAATAATTAAAATGGTTTAGTCACTGAGTTCCTGTCAAATATAACGCTTCTGGTTTCTGAAAGTTTTTGGTAAAACTCTATGAAGGAGCGTCTTCCCTCTCCTGTCATTATAAAACTGCTTCTGCACATGACTGGGAACTGTTCTTCAGGCCTGGGAAGCAAAGCATGATTTGCTTGATTGCAA